ACCGAACACCTCCCATAAATAAGTAAGTAAATTAATAAATAATTGGGAAAAAAATAAGCAAAACCAGGTGATTCATCTTCATTTAACAAGAAAAATAGAAAACTCACATTTGGGGAAAAAATAAGATACATGAAATAAAAAGTTTTTTTTTTTGCATGTACACAGGATATAATTCTGCTCAGTGTCAGTTTTATTTCTATTGCACTTTTAGAAATATTAAGCTTTAACAAAGCGCTTTACAAACAAACAGGTTAAAAACAAACAGGAAAAGAACTCAATAAGGCAAACACATGAAAACCAACAAAAACAAATCAAAGTGTAATGCCTTGCCAAATGTCTTTTTTTTGTGCACCACCTTTTTTGTGCAACACTTGTTTAGTATTCCTAAAGTGAAACAGCCTAATTTGTCGTTAACATTTATTCTATCATGTCTGCAAATGCAAAACCAGTGTAACCACGCTCAAATTTTAGAAGTTGCTGTGGCACCACCCTCACACAGTCTTGTCTTATGTCACAGGAAGAGCTCTCATGAATGAATTATATGCAGACGCAGTAAAAGATTTTTAGTCTTTCTCTTCTTTTTTCTTTGCTCAATAAATAGAGTTGTGTTTGTGGGGCAGAGAAAATGCCACAAAGGCAATCGAGCGTTAGATGCCTCTAGATATCTCTTTACTTTATTTCTTTGTCAGTCAATTCAAGATAAAAATAACATCTGCTTTTTATAGTCATTCAGGGCTGATGGRTGAGTTTTCTTTGGTACTGGAACAGGATGTCTTCTACAACACTGGGACCTTCTCTTGGGTTAAGAGGTGCAGAATCCCACAGAGCTGATCTGCATTTTTTAAACCAATTTTGTAACATACGTTTGCAAATTTTTGCGTGAACATCAAAGCTTTTCCTGTTGTTTATCACCATCAGAAAACCCATCTCTGTTTGTTTGGAGTGAATGTTCAAAATAAGATATAATAATGAGYGAATCCCTTCTTTTGTGCTCTGTAAGTATACCTCATTAACTGAGGATGGAGATAATGATGGATTTAATGAAACTTGTTTTTCATATCCAGCTCAGAAAAACAGGGGATGTTGCCAGTTCTGGGAAGCTCCCACTGCTCTGCTCTGGGGACCGGTGCGATGAGAGAYGATCTCTGTGGGACTGGGAAAGTCCAGGAAGACCCTGATGCCTGAACACAACATGAAGAGTGTGATGTTTGTCTGCCTCAATCTTAAAGTCTGAAAAAACCCCACAAATGTAAAGAAACTGATATTTTGTTTRTACTCACGCAAGAACAGGAAAAAGATGATTAAATTGCAGGGCTAAAAACAGTAAAATTGGTCAGATTTGAATCATGCTTTTCTTTAATGAGCCATCCAGTTTTGTTATTTAGGGAACCATCAAGCACATTTACCACATTTGTTGTTTGGTTTCACATGATCACACCTTAGAAATGAAAAAAGTTTGTTCATAGTTTGCTCATATTTCTCCTTTCTTGAATCTACACATGTAGCCCAATCAATGTAAGATAAGCACAAAGAGGCTGTGCATCTCCCCAAGGTCAGGTTTTAATCTGTGTGATGGTTGTGACCATGACAACAGGTCCCAGTGGAAGATGCTTTTTTGGAGGCGGATGCATCACAGTGGTTCCAAGCCTGCTTGTTAGGATTACAGAGGACTCACCTGCACTCCTGGTCTTCTGTGTGCGAAATTATTATCAACAGAAACTGTTCGGATGTCTCTTATTTACAGGAACAAATGAGACCTCTGTCTTTGCATTACTTGTGCTTTCAGTTTGCTCTAATGTGTGTTTTCATTCACTCAAACCTGACGATCTCAGAAAGGAACTGGTAAAAAAACAGTTTCATTACAGAAATTCATTCATTCATTATTCATTTCATTAAAAATAAACTTTACACACAATAAAAATAAAAAAATACAAACACAACGAAATGAAGGGAAGCAGAGAGAAGAACAAAATGTTGTAATATCTGCCCCCTTTTTCCTCAAGTTTAAATTTAAACAACAATAATCCTCAGTTAACAAAACAAAACAAGAACATCAAATCATTCAAGAGCAACAAATTAAATGTGTACACATCATACAGTTTGATATTTTTTCAACAATCCAACCTTTATCATTCTCTTGAACATGTGCTTTGATTTGATACTTTTCACATCATTTTCCAGCGACTGCGACCAGTTATACATCCGGGAAACAAAGCAGCCACTGTTCAAAAGAATGTCCCAACACAGACGAGCTACATCTAAT